TTGCAAGTCGAAGTATGATGAGAATAAGTTGGAGTTTCTGATCGATATTCACAATTAAAGAAAGAGCGTTAAGGGTTAAAGTTGACAATGATAATTCATTCTATCTGAAAGAGGAGAATGCATTCTATATTCAAGAATACGAAAGATGGAACGCATTCTCATGTGACGAGTAAAAATAATTGAATAAAATTTTTTGATTTCTTAAAAATACATTGAAGATATCTTCCTGGAATTGTTTGAAACAAATATCAAGACGATTCTAAGAAAACTGGTATTGCAAAGGAACATGTGCTACCTGTCTCTACTAACAAATCTCTCGTGGATGTAACATGTAATGTAAATTTGCATTGGTGAGACAGAAGAGGCAGATCGAAACTGTTTGTACATTCCAGTCCCCCATCTTTGGCACGGAGCTACGAATCGAATTTACATTATTATTATTAAAAACCGCGTCAGTACACGTCGTCAATCTTCTACCTTTCACTTTCTCCCATTCTATCTCATACACACACACACACTCTCTCTTTTCTTCTAATATTGCACACAGGTTTTAACATAGGCGTGAATTCTCGCGTAAGAATTGGAACGATCCTCCTCTTCTATTCTTGTTATTTCTTGTTGTCTTTCTTCATTCCTTTTAAAACGATCAATCGATATTATGTCCCACACACTCACTCACTGGTTCGATAAGATCCAAATTAATAAAATTGCCAGGAGAGAAAACGTTAATTTACGATAACTATAGGATTGCTAAATTACTGTTTTCTTAATAATTCATTTTATCACCTGGCGTAGCAACAATTTTACATATCGTTCTATTAATTCCTTACGCCGCAACCATTTTTTCTCCTCGATGACGAGCGTATCTAGCTAGGAAAAAAGAACGCCCGAGGGACGTTTTAATAAACAACAGATTTATGGAATCCTTGTACGATCGAATCAATTGAGAGGTTTAATTACGAACGACAGTCTCTTATGTAAATCAGCGAGTGAACATAAATTACGTCGACACAGTGTCGAAGCTGTAACAGTACCCGACGAAACGTTACAACCACTTTTAATCATCGATTTGCTTTTCACTCCGTGATACCTCTCGTACCGTTGAACGGTCGCATACTTTCTATTCTATAGAAGAATGCGTCTCGCACGACCCACGCACCTACGGCGTGCGTTATAAACTTTCAAATGTTTAACCCTTATGACGTTAAAAGTCACCTATTATTAATCGTGAGCACACAGTGAAAGTTACGCGATCACGTTTCGCGTTTAACCAGTTACTCGTATTGATTTTCAATATAAATCGTCGTATGAAACTGGAGATGGACAGCGAATTATTAACTCCGTTTCAAAATTCATCGTCAAGAAAATATTTCTCTAGGGTAGATCTGGGTATTAATGCGGAATAGAAATATGGTTAACCTTCGAAGCGAATAAATGAAAGCTTTCAGTTTTTGTTTTAATTAATACTCAAGGATTACTTTATAAGAAAAAAGTTCATTTTGTTACCTAATATAGTGATTTATATTAATAAAAAAAATGTCATGTTTAATTATTGCCTATTACTGCAGATTGAAAAAAGAAATATTGTAAATCATTATGACCTTCTACTTGTTTTAGAATTGCAAAACTGATTAGGTGCATAAATTACTATAAAAAATTAATAAAACGTAGTAAATTAAATTGTAATCATGTCTAGTGTAATTTAGTCCTTGCTGCTTCTTTTTTTTTACGACACACTATACATAATTTAAATAGATCCTTTGAAGTTAATTCTGTCTCCGGCGTAAACAAAACACCGCAGTAATGCGTACATGTAGCAGTTTGTAAGTATATAATACTGCGGATCGATATTTTTC